TATTATTAATATTAAAATGAGTATTTAAAATTTGAATATTAAAAAATGATAAAAATAAATAGTTTTCTTTGTTATCAAGAAAGTGATGCGATTCAGTTTGTTTAAACTTGTTTCAGATTTTCTTTATTGCATTATCTTTCAAATACAATTTGTACGAAGTTGATAACTCCATTCATTCTCAAGATTTCGTGCACAAAAAAACCTGTCATTCATACGTACACACATACATACATCTTCTTCTTCTTCTTGAAAGCTAGTCAATATGCTTCTACATACTTCAAAACGTGGAGATATCATAAAATTTTAAGTTTTAGAAATTGACCTCATTGCAATAGTTTTCTCATGAGAAATAAATAAAAAAGTATCGTTGTTTTTTTATCTAGAATTAATTTATCTTGATGAAAAATCGCATGAACATTATTTAAAGCAATTTCTAATTTTTAAAGGTGAAAATTGACTGTGCTTTTTAGGAAGCAAATTTTTCCGATGCTCACAGTTTTGAAATTGTTAATAAAGGTTTCTGAGAGATTAAACTTTTAAATCTATGTATCTCTTCGGATGGCATCTACACGAAATTCCCTTTTCTGAAAGAGCCACTTTAAAAGTGACAAAGCTCTTCACCTGGTGCGTGACATTCTACAATGGGGCCATAGGGTAAACGAGATGTTTTTTTTTTGGTTTAATAATTATAAAATATATTATAGTTCAGTAGGGATGAAAATGAAAACAGGGGTAATAGAAAATCTAACCTTCGATTTTGAACCAAGGCTTTTTTCACGTTAGATTAAAAAGCATAATATCGCAAAATTAAATTGTGCTTCTTTTTATCCTATGTAGTACATAGTTTGTGGTCACTTAAAGTCCTTTATTTAAAATTTTTTAAACAATTTCTCAATACTATACTAAGAAATCGTAAAAGTTTGATTAGAAAGAATTCTACAATACCGACAAATTGGCATGGTAGCTGTAAAATAGTTGGCACGCTCTTTTTCATTTTTTAGATCGAATATCTCTAAAAATAGGTCAAAAATCAGAAAAATAAGGTGACAGCAATTTTGGTTGCACTGTAAAGAATAAAAAATGTCTTATAAAATATTGTCGATTTTTGAATATTTAAAAAGTTATTGATTAAAATGTGCGAGCTCGAGCAGGCAAAAATTGTTTATAACAAAAAAACACAATGACGCGTACATTTTTTTCCCTACCAGTTGTTTTTTTCAGAATCATCGTGTAATTTTACGTAAAAAAAAACTTTAGTTCAAAAAGGGGGTTAGATTTGCTAATTAAATTGCATCTATACTAGACTATAAAATAAATTGGAAACTTTTTTTCTAGAAAAGGTTTGTAAAAACAAATTTGAAATTTTTAGAAATTGCAAAGGCATTCCTGAACAAAAATTTATTTTTAAGTTATTCAGGTTTTAAGTTGAAAAAGACATTCATTTTTGGCAGCTAATATCTTGTTCAAAAATGATTTCAAAAGCCGAGAAGAAAAAAATTAAATTGTTTGGAAGAAGATGGAATTTTATGGTTTTCATCGCCATTTTTTACAAGACATTCACTTGGTTTTATATACTACTAAAAATCTTGGAGATCTTTTTTTGCTTTAAAGAGAAAATTATAAGCTTTGATTTGCTATCTAGCTCTCTTTTCTATGATTATTTTTCATTGAAATTTAGCTTTGCAAAAATAGATTAAAAAGTTGAATGTTATTACAATCTTTAAATTATTTTTAAAAGTGTGGTTTTCATCTCTTTTAAAATTTGATCATAAAATCGAATTAATGAATACCACATGTAATTAAGTTTTATCAGTTCTTCTCGGTAAATAAAAAAAAGTATTATACATGGAATTTATAAAATACTTAAATAAATGCTTAACCATTCAGAAATAAGGATTGTAATCAAGTAGTCACGTAGTTACTTTACCAACGACAGTTGCGATCGTTATTTACTTGGGTTCTCTCATTTTGCAGACTCAAGCCTCTAGGTAGTCTTACATTTCTCCTAAACCCTCATTTATTTTCTCGGTGATAAAAAAAATAACAACTTGTATTACAGAAAAGTATTGCGTTTAAAAAAGTACACTAACTCTTGGAGAAATTTTTACAATTATTCATTTTACTCACGTCATTCAATTCAGAAGTTCACAAATTTCTCAATGATTTATTGCTTATTGAAAACGTTGGAAGATAAATTGTAAAAAAAACTACGAATCTATTGAAACCGTTCATATAATCATTTCAATACATTCGTCACTATCATCTTGTCACGTTATAATTCAGAAACTCAACATTCTATTACTGTTATGTACTTTCATATCCTTATTAGCAAAAACACAAAGGCCATTCAAAGTTTCATTTAATTATCAACCACAAAACTCATGAGAACTATTATTTGATAATATCTAATGTTCTGCCTATAGAAAATACAGAATGACACATAATTTATGCTCAGTAATTATATCATTGTGCTATGCTCTCTAAAAATGAAACAGTAAAAATAATGAAATACACTGCAAAATCAGTGAATATAATACAACTAATTCAAACAGTGGCTCAATTTACATTGCAAAATTAATAAATATCAACTACTTTTGCAGTGTATTTTATTATTTTCACTGTTTCATTTTTAGAGAGTACCAAAATTGGATTCGACAAATATTTTCTGAGACACAAGCATTTAATATAAAGTTAACCAATCACGTGTTAGCAGCCAGGATACTAGGCGTCAGCAATGTAGTCAGACTTTTCTGAATTCTGCAGGCTGGAAAACACAATTTTTATCATAAAATTAGAAATTAAAGGTCACACACGGAGAAAAATGAGTTGTGTAATTTTTACTTTACAGGAGTGTTGAAAAGTTACAGGATTCAACACTAAATTTGAAGCACAAATAACTGTAGGTATCGTGTATTTGTTGGCTCTGTAAAGTATTTTTCACATCTAAAATGTAGTGAAATAATGAGGTTATTCACACTCCAGATATTAGAAATTTTTTGAATAAACTTCACTTTATTGTAAAGTAAAATATTTTTTCTGAACAAATGAATTCAAGCAGTATCTTACTCTCTTAAACTTAATCAATGAAAACTGCCGTGAATCAGTGAATATTCACTGATATTCAATGCCAATCCGATGACTAATTCATTCAGTGATAAAATATTCACTGATGCACAGTAGCTGTCACTGATTCAGTATAAAAGAATACAGTAAGGCAAAACTATAGAATTCTGAGAATATCTGATCGATAAAATACGCCAAGTTTTTGCGTTCATTATTTTACTGTCTAGCAAGGTGAATATCACTAGCGCTAGAGTATTTAATACCTATCATTAAAACATATGCATTCAGATAGAGCTAATTTTGATTTGATATTAATTATTCGGTGAGCCGAGCGGACTGAGACGTTAGTTTAAGATGCGTGCATTCAAATGGTCGTAGATTCGAATCTCCCTAACTCAGAAATTTATTTAAGCGTAAAAATAAATTTAAGTTCACAATTCCTTTTTAACTACAAACAGTAATATAATATAAATAAATAAATAATCCAAATTAGATAATATTCATTTTTTGTTGTTTAAATTAAAATAACGATTATAGCTTGTACATGCACCGCGAATCATAGTGTTTTAATTTAAAACACTTAAAGCGTTTTAAAATGACGTCACTCATTTGATTAACATTGAAGCCACTTTTAATGCATTTGAAAGTGTTTAAAAAGTGACTAAAATGTAGATCAAATGTGTGACATCATTTTAAAACACTTTCAAATTTAAGATTGACAGGGTTTACAAACTGTACTTGTACTTTTAGAACTGTACATTTATTTTACAAATTTTTATAGTACTCCGATATCGTAATCTAAAATTCATTATATAGGTAGTCATAAACGTTATAAATTTATATTAGTGTCTTTTTCTGGCTTCTAGCACGTGATTGGTTAACTTTAAATGCTTATTTATATCTTAAAAGGTATCTATTGAATTTAACTTTCGTAGAACTTTTGTATTGTTGTTATCTTCAGAAACCGATCATATAGATGCTTTGCATGACTTGTGTAACACTCTCAAGATTTATTTTTATTCACTGTGTCTCTATTATTTGGATGACAGCAATCGATAATTGACTAAAATTAATGACAAACTGGTTATCAAGGTCAGCGAATTTCTATTTATTATTATAATTCAATTCTAAAAAAGCGACTGATATATAAATTCATAACTGGTCCAAATCACTCAGATGAAAGGCATAAGGTGAATTCAAACAATTATTTCTAAAAAGAAAATTTGTTTCAATCGTCATTTTGTGTTTTAAAGTAATGGGATAATTTTTAGGTAAAAATTTATTCCATACGATAATTATAGTAACTATGCATCAACTTTGAGTAATCATAACTATATTCAGAAGAGTCCCTAAAATATTATATTATTAAATTATTTGAACAAATCGTCGAATTTTTCAAAACCTAACATAGATCAATACTCTTACGTTTCTCTTTCTCTCTCTCATTCTCTTTTACTAGAAGCACAAAAGTCTTTTGTGCTCAACAATTATATTCAATTGCCCTGAGGCATTCTTGAATTTTCGACGTTTCTTGGTACTTTTTAATAAATCACGCTTATCACCCGGTTTTAATATAAACCATTTTATTTATTTGTACACATTGCTGAAGAAGCAAGAATTTCTAGAGCTTCTATAACTATGCAAGCGAAAAACCGATCTTATCTAGTCGATAAAAGATTACAGAGGAAGCAATCACGGGTTTCTATTTTGCCAAATTCTCAATAATATTTAAATCAAAAAGTTGAATTTGAATATTAAAAAAAATAGAAAGATTTAATAATAAAATTGTAATAGAATTGCTTCGTGTTTCACGTCATCTCCACTGTAATTTCAGTGGTTTTGTCGTGAAGACTAACATGGAAATTATTTTGAGATATTTGAATTCTAATAAAATTCCTTCAATATCATAAAATGTTAACAAAAGTATTTTTTTGCAGATCCTATCGGTGAAAGTGTTTCCAGAGCTTGCTGGTTGATAAATAATTAAAAAGTGTAAAGTTTAAAAATGAGTGACTAACCTAGTTAAGAGACAGAACTAATAGATCAGAATGAAAGTATTAAGACTCATATTGAAATTACGTGAAATGGTGATGGTGCGGAAGCTAAGGTATGAAAGAATCCAATCTCAAGATCCAATTTGATCTGAGACTGAAGGAAGAATGCGTTGCCTGAACGAGTATTTGACAACAGACAACATCACAATTCAATGAATCAATAAGTAAGCGAGTGAGGCGAGATACAACAAGAGAATGGAATCAAGATTAAGTGGACCAGGGGGCTCAGCGGACGCCGGGCGTTCAACCATGCCCAGTTACACGAGTGGATTGACGGGTGATAACAATGTAGATTTTATTATTAGTGACTATATGGAAAGACTAGCAGAACGTTTAAATATTCTTGAGACGGAATTGAAATACGCATGGAGAGCTCTGGATCTCTTGAGTCAAGAGTACATCAAGATGTGGGAGCGGTTAGAAAAATTAGAAGGATTACTTTATGAACAACAGAATGTGATAAGTCAATTAGTTGAATTTTATGCTGGAGGTGGACACGAAGGTGGAAATGCTATGGGACATCCAACGTTGATGATGACACAAAGAAGTTCTGTTGGAGAGTTAGATGCTATTGCGAAGAGCTTAGGACCTTCTATGGGCATTGAAGAAACTAGTGTACTGAGAGAGAAATTAGCTCAACAAGAACTAGTTCGGATGCATGGACTTCCACATGACAGTGGCCCTGCGGTTATTCCTGACATTCATCGAAGCGTGAGAAACTTGGAGGCTTTAGAAACTCTAGAGGAAGAAGAAAATATGCCTGATGAAGCGTTTTACAGAAGTTTAAATAATGCATACCGCGAAGATTTAATTTGTGGTGAAACATCTCGACCTGCATCACAACTAGGAATGATTTGGGAGGAAGCAGAAGATGTTGATGATTCGAATGGCAAGAAAGATGATATATTGAATGCGGAAAAGAATAAAGAAAAAAGAGAAGATGAAAAAAAAGAAGAGAAAAACAAAGAAGATTTAGAGACAAAACCTGAAGATGATGAGGATGTGGATGATGGTGAAATTTTTAGTGCAGCAGATTACAAAAGCTATCGTGGAAATACACCATGTGTAAGTGAACAAGACTTGGCTGAACTTTCGAAGCTCAGTTCAATAGATCAAGTCGCATTGGAGAAACTTCACGAATTAGACAAGTTGACGAATAAACTTCAGAAAGATTCACAGGATCTTATTGAGTTGAATACACGACTTATGGAATCACCAAAGAGACAGTTTAGTTCAGAAGCGGAAGCAAAATTAGCTGAGGAAGCAAGCAGTATAGATGAACAATTAAGAAAAATTTATGCTGAGACTGATGTTGATAATTGGACATATTCCAAGAGTCCAGGTTCTACCGGACGTTCTATTTCTAGAGTCAGCACTGATTCAGGTTTAGCAACAGATGGTGATTTTACTGCTAGATCTTTATCTCCAAGACTGAGCTCCACTCCCAAGAGTCATTTAGACTCTATGACAACAACGTATACTCCGCCAAGATTAGGGTATACTACATCTTTATTAGAAAAAAGCCCAGAGCCTGTTATTCCACTTCCAATAGATCCAGGAGTTTTTGCTAAAGGTTATGCAGAAAATAAAGAATTGACTGATCTTATGGCTGAAAGTTTTGTTGCTGTAACTTGTGCATCTCCGACTATTTTCAGCAATACAACAGACAAATTGCCATCACCGACTTCATCCGCGGGAAGTGTACATAGTATTCACAGTGCTCAGAGTATACGAACTCGTCGAGATGGCTATTTTGGGAGTGCAGCAAAATTAAACTTTGAATTTCCAGAGAGTAGAACTCCACCGAGTCCCTCACCAAGTTCACCACCTCCTCCAGCACCTCGGGATTCGAATGACACCTTCCTCATGCTGAGTGAATCTCAGCGTGACAGTGAAGTAAACCAACACGTACAAAGCCCCCAGAATTTCCTAAAAAGTACTGAAAAATTGGCGTTAGAACAAGAAAGGCTGAGTCCTCATACTCCACACTCGCCAAAATCGCCACGAGTTTCACCCAAACACGTAGCTAAGCCTTCCAACATTATCATACCAGCCAAGTCTGATTCAGGTTTGTCATCTATGAGTGGTTGGAGTAGTTTAGATAAATCACCAAGTTCGCCTAAAAGTTCGCTAGCCAAAATGCTTAATTCCTATTCTTTAGACCAGTCTCGGAATTTAATCACTAGTAGCCAATCTCTAAGAACTACCAGTCCAATACCACCGCTTCCACAAGCTCCAACTACAACGACTACCATTACCACTACAACAGCTTCATCCATTCAAGAACCTCTTTATGATACTCCTGAAGGCAGAGATATTTTTGGTAACATTACAACTTCTGCTACCACACACTATTCGACTCTAGCGAATCATGTATCATCTTATCCAATGAAATCTCCAGTAAACAAAGAAAACTACAATTTCTCTCCAGCAAGTTCTGGACCGAGTCAAAGTCCAAAAAAACGTGCCCGTGCTCAAAGTCTTCAACATACTTATGACACAGTTCCTGCGGGAACTCTTGATCTGATATATCGTCCAGACCAACCAGCAATTTATTCAGTAGCTGGTGGCAATCGTCAGAATTTAATCACTGGAGTTTATACTTCAAGTCCTAGTTCCAGTGGTCGATCGTACGTTCCTAGAACAACGAGTGCTGATCAATTTTACCGAGACAATATGGATCATTTTACCAATTACCAAGAAACTTACAGTACAATGCAATATCAAGATCCGTCAATACAAGGTTACGGACACTCGAGAAAGCCTACAAGAGCAATGTCATATGGTGATAGAGTGGCTACTCAAGAGGCTTATAAAATGTCCATGTATAGAAATATGTTTCCTACGGGAAATATTACAGATGCATTGTCATATTATCCTACTTCTGAAAATCTTCCAAGAACTGAAGGTAATGATAATTGGTCGAATGTCATGGAGTCACAAATTCCACATGACTCAACTTCTTCCAGTATTCGATCGTTAACTTCTGAAGGTAGCTACGCTCCAAGTCCATATGCAGATCGAAGACATCCTCAACCTCCTCAGCCGCCAAGTTATCAAAGTCATCAAAGTCAATATCATGTACTTACTACTCAAAGCTATCCACAACCTTATCAACAACAATACCAAGCTTATACGCAACGAAGTGGACCTCCACAAATGCCTGAAAATTATCAACGACAACGACAAAGAGATCATCAATATATGCGAGAACAAGAACGACCTCAGCCTCAAGGTCAAAGTAATTACTATGACCCATCTACTGTTATTGTATCACAATCTGGCTACATAAGTATAGCATCAGATTTAAAAGATCATGAAGAAGTTAAGGTTCAAAAGAAGATGAGAAGAGGTGCTTCATTGAAGAATGCAATGAGTTCAATGAGTCATTGGCTTCCAGATCTTCATCTGACAAAAAGACACAGAAGTCAATCACTACCAGGGGGAGTAAGAAGAGAAGACCTTGATGGTGTTCAACCACCACCTCAACAAGAGTCTATTCCTGATGTAAAATCTCGGGGAAGACCTCAAACAACAAGAAAGAAGAAAAAACATACTCTAGTATCTACTGTATCTGGAATTTTACAAAAAGCTAAGAGAAGAAGTCATCATTCTCAATCTTTGTCTGATCCAGAACAATCTGAAACTGAGTGGAGTAGTGGGCGGCAGAGTGGTTTGTCTGAAGACGAAGATAGTGTGATGTCAGACGTGAGTCAAGAGCCTCCATTTTTTGCTAAAGTACGAACGAGTCAGAAAAGAAAAACTCAAGGTCAACAATCACCACAATCTCAAGCTCCCAATTTTCAGCAGCAAAAAGATTACATCCAACAGCAGCAAGTTCTTCAACAACAAATACAACAACATCAAGAACAGCTTCAACAACAAGCTGCTGAATGGTCAAAAGAATCAAAAGAACGTGAACCAGTGAAACATGAAAGTGAGCATGAACTTTCAGATTTAGCTGGACCAGATGATGCTCATGATGGGTCTGGAAAAAGTACTGGTTCAGGTTCTGGTGGGTCTACGACAATATTTCCGACAGTAGGAGATATCAAACGCTCGACGGGTAGTTCTGATGAAGCACCAAATGAAAAAGCACCTAAATTACCTATTCAACTAATGGGTGGTGGTGCAAGTATGGAGTTTGCTGTGTCACGAGCACTAGGTAAATATCGACAACGTCAGTCTTCCACAGTATCAGATGATGCTCCAACTACTGAAGATGATAAAAAATCAGAAGATGGGCAGCTACAGGAAATGAAAGATGATACTGAAGGGGAAAAATCAGTATCAGAGAAACTTGAAAAAAGTACAAAACCACCTGAATTGGTAGCAAGTTTGTCTGAAGAAGCTCCAGTTTCTGAAGGAAGTCCATCAGCATCAAGTGGTCGAGGTTTTGCATGGGGGGGTAATCGGTTTCTACCAAAACATCAGCAGAGCTTAGAAATCCCTTGGGCTGGATCACGAAGTGGTGAAGGTGATGAAGACAACCGAAGTACTCACTCATACAGAAGTACATCACGAGTATCTTCAAGAAGACAAAGTACTGAAGATTCAATTGATTCTGAAGATGAGTGGTATTGTTATGAGTTGCGAAAGTTGGAAGAACTAGAAAGACAATCACAAATGGAAATTGAAATGAGTCAAGTGTTGGTAGAAGAGCCAGAAGAATCAGATATGTATTACCCCGATGAACATGTAAAACAGAGGATGTCGATTGTACTGAAAGAACTGAAGCTAAAAGCAATTCCGAAAGCTGATGAGAAAGATGTCAGAAAAGAAGAGAAAGGCCCTAAAATAAATGGAAGCATTCCAATGTTAGAAAGACGAATTGAAGATGATGGTAAGCCAATTCCTAAAAAGAAGACAGCTGAGAGTGTGGAATCTGTATTTGCTAGAGTAACTGACTACCACACGTGGGCTCACGAAGAAGAAGCAAGACGAGAAGAGAGAACAGCACTCTTACCAATGGACGAAGGATCTTCAGGTGAAACTTCTGGTCCTGATAGTCCAGTTCATTCAACAGATGAACTCGATGAAGAACTAGATCTTCGTAAAGATCTTGAAGAACAATCAAGAAGAAGTTCAAGCTCAACCATGCGTCGAGAAGGTGAAAAATTACTCCAAGGTTCAGATTCTCTTTCTCGCGAAGGTAGTGTCAGTGTTCCACCAAGTGAAATATCTGTAAGCATTCCTGGAGCATGGGATTCCGAAAGTACCGTTATTGAAGGTGAAAGAGATGGTGCTGGAAGTGCTGAAACAGCAACACTAAGTTTACCAAAAATAAAAATCGACTCTTCATCATGTGGGTCTTCAGACACAACATTGAAAGATGGCCAGATAAGCCCTGGTCCACCTGGATCTAAATGGAAACTCCTGAAAGCCTTGAAGGAACGCAAAGCTGAAGAAAAACTCAAAGAAGTTGAAGAAGCAACTGCTAAAGAAAACGCTATTCCAACAACTCCAGCAGCTGTGAGTATTATGATTAAGTGAGGGCACGATAATTTCAACAAAATGTGCTCGAGTTTCAGTCTTTGGTCTTGGAACTAATTTTTCTCGTGCACGTAAGCGTTGTAATTTCATTGATAATCATTCATAATATGATTAAAGTCAATATGCGAGAAATTCTAGTCAATTGAATCTGATTAACAACTTATCTAAATGGACGAAATAACTAGATAATAAGAAATATATTGTCTTACAAACTAAAAATTTCCCAAGCTAATTATGATGATAAATTAAACATAACACTTATATTTCAATGATATTCTAAGACCTACTAGTAGTCTATAAGCTTTCAGGTATTATTTGATAAAGCTCTCAATTAATGAAAATACCTACAAACTCTATCTCATAATATTCATTTATGCAAAAAAAATAAAATTATTTGATATGTTTATTGCGTAATTTTTCTACAGAATATTTACAATTTTTCAAACTAAAAATAAAGAAACAAGGTAATACTAATGAAGGTCTACATTAATGGTAAACAAAATGATTGAAGTAATAATTAAAGGAAAATATCACTTAGGGATGATTTACAAAACAAACAATATTGCAATTGATAATAATAATTCCATGTAATGTTATGCGGATCATCCTGCAGAGATTTGACGTAGAAATTATTGGATAGTTTAGAATTAACAGCAGTAAATTCACTTGATTATCTCACGAATAATGAGCGTAGTAATCAATAAAATACATTCACTCTTACCATACAAATCTACCAATTGGACTTGAAAATAATACTAATTGACCATTAATTAACAAATAAAAATGATAATAAAAAAAAAAAAACAAAATAATTGTGGAAACAGGGAGAGAATATAAGACCAAGTTTCTCACTTTTATATTGAATAGGAAAAAAAAATAAAAAAGCTCTCGATTATTTATTGATAAATAATTGGCTCATTAATGAGAGTAAAAATGTCAGTATAAGACTTAATTAAAAGAAATAATTTTTGAATTGTTTTATTTTATAGAAAATAAATACTAAAAATTGAGTATTAATTATTAACTGATAATAAAATATTAGAGTGATGTAAGTTAGTTAATTGAAAAGCATGTCACTATTTTGAACGAGCTTGGCTCAATTAAACTTTATCGCTAAACAACTGCACGATATTATAAATAAATAAACGCATCGTAGATTCATATTCTCACGGGTTGTTCTGTGTCAATTAATAATTAAACAAATCTAGTTCTAGCTTCAGATATGTTTACATTGAAGTCTCGATTAATGCTTGTTAGTACTTTATTTCTATTTGTGTTTCAATATTTACTATGCCGATGGGGATATTTAATATTTCAATATTATCTCCTTTTTCATAAAAAAATTATATTTCAATCTTGCGTGACTTGAACTCTGTTGCTATTGATTCTTCATGGAAACTGAGCTCGGAAATCACATCACTTTCATTAGTTGGCCTCATTTTTTTTTCTTTGTTTCTAGTTTCCTGTAAATGTAGAAGTCATTGTTATAATTCTAAATATCAGGATTTTTATAGATTTTATTTCTACTGGTCGTTAGAATCTTGAGTTCTTTCAAATAAATCAGGAAAATGTTTAGTTAATTTTTCAAGTAAATTTTATTATTATTGATAGAATAATAGATTTGTATATTTTTATATGAATTTATTGATAATTTAGAGCTGTAGAATTAATTTTAAAAAGTTCTTTTACATTTTAAAATCATTAGAAAAATTAGTCTTTTCATACTTTGGTGTATAATAATTGTTTTGTTTGTCATGTTATATGACATTTATTATGATAATTAATCGACATCGATACACTACAAATAGTAGTGTTTTAATTTAAAACACTTAAAGTGTTTTAAAATGACGTCACCCATTTGATTAATATTGTAGTCATTTTTAATGCATTTGGAAGTGTTCAAAAAGTGACTACAATGTTAATCAAATGGGTGACGTCATTTTAAAACACTTTAAGTGTTTTAAATTCAAATACTTTCAAAATTTGAGATTTGCAATGTATTACAATCAATTTTAGAATAATCGACTCGAAGTTGACGTTGAGGAAGTGGTTGATATTTAAAGAAATTGCTAATTATTAGTGGTATTTCGACATGAACTTTTTTGTTAACAAAAAACTAATAATGAATAAATGAAAAGATGAACCATTCAAAATACTTTTAAGCGGAAGAATAATAATTTCATTCAAAAATAAAGTCGATATTGACTAGACATTATTGTTCACAACCAAATATGACTTTCACCAATTACATATTGTTTGTAACAATATAAATTCGTTATAAACAATTAACAATTGTATTTATTGATTAACTAATGTGTGTATTGCACTAATTTGGATTCTATCGGCGAAAGAATATTATTAATGATAAGACATTGTTTATAATTCTTTAAACTTGTTATAAACAATTTCCAATGGGAAGCTCGTCGTGTTAGCACAGATAAAGTGTGCTCAGACCTATTTATTTTTAACTATTCTACTATCTTTGTTATTTTATTGATATTCTATTATTTTCTATTATTCTATTCCTAGAACGAGATAACATCGACCTTTCAGACTTTTCTCTTAATTAACTTTGTGTTTAATTCATACCATGGATTTTTCAAAATTCAATGTAAACTATTTATTTAGTGTACATATATTATTAATTATTATTAAGATTCAACGCAATATTAATAAAAAAAGTTAATATCAACATACTGTCGATAATTAAAATATTGCTAAGACGTCAACTTTAAATCGATTATCCTAAAATTAATTTTAATATCAACGTCGATTTACACGAACATATTGTAGAATAAATTTTGAAAAATTTGGAGTTAATTTGATCTGCTAAAAATGTGCCTGTCTCAATTTTTTTTAAATTCTATATTAAAAAATTATCCTAACAGTGTTATAAGTAAGGGCTTCCAGGGTTCCAACTATCTATGAACTTCAATTGAATGAAATCTTACTTAAATTATGATTTATTGATCACAAAACAAGATACCTTCCTTTTCAATCCAACAATATTTTTAACATTCATTTCTTTGTTTTTTTTTTCCTCTAAAGAATCCTGTTCTGGAGAAAATTACATAACAATATGGATCGAGACTTCATGAAAACTTATCTCCAAACACATCGATTGTTCTGGCGATAATTAATTCTTAGAACACCATGATTTATAATAAATTCAATAAGTAAATAAAGTAACAATAAAACATAGATTACAAAAAGCCGCTTTAATATTATCTTCAACAAAGCATAGTTAAATTTCCTTTGAAAGCTGGGAAATAAGTTCCTTCATAAGATTTAAGGTTCTGGAAATCTAGTTAAAACGTTTGCAAGTTCATAAAGGTTGAAGCTAAAAAATAAAAGACTTTTATATTAAATCAAAAAAAAAGAAAAACTTTCGAAAAAAAGTGTGCAAAATAGAAGTGTTTAATTAACAAGTTAAGGTATACAGATTAAAAAGTTTCCAACATGAATTATCTATTCACGTATAATAAAAATTAATGTTAAAGTTGTAAACTTACTTTTACAATAATTTATAACATTTGTTTTTTAAATATTAATAATCGCAATCTTTTCTATGTTTTATTCTGAAAATATATGAAATTAAAATGAATAAAACATGGTGTAAATAATAGAAAAGAGAGCTTGGTTGAAGATGAATAATATGACAGAAATATAAATCAAGACTGCGGTTGTAAATTAATTATTAAAACTATAACAAATGATAATGCATACTAGTCTATAGCCAGAATAATTAAATAAATATCTCTCGGTTGTGTCATATGTGTTGAAACACATCGCACATTCATATTAGACAATTACCATTATTGCATCGTCATTTACATTAGGAACAGAAAAGAAAAAACACGTTTATCTGATTATATGTTAGGTAAAGTATATTAAGGAAATTGAACAAGGAATTAATTAAGGTTGATTACATTATAACACCATTTGAAGAATCGAATAAATAATATTCATATGCATTTAATGAAGATCTATTCGGTGATAATACTAGATAAATATTTATTAAGTAATTGTTTTTTCATAAATTTATCGGCTAGTGAGTTTGATGAAGGTTTCAAATATGGATCTTACTTTGAAATAAGGTGGTGGTGGGGATCGATCGAGATGACTTTGACTATGTTGATGTGTGAAAATCAATCTAAGTTAGGGAACCTTAACATCAGTTAATTGAGGCATTTATGCCTAACCTCACTTTAGTTTTATTTCGCTAAATTTTGTACATTCCTATTTATCAACGCCTTTCATATACCATATTAGGAATTACAGACTGAAATAGGTTTTTATTTTTTTATGTAACACAGGAATGATAAACGTAACTTATCATGCCTGTAGAGAGGAACCTAAATTGCTGATTACCGACCGGTGAAATACTTAAGTAATTTAAGTACTCGAAAACGAAATCATGATAAATTCCAGATACAACGCCAAATTTTTTCTGAGATGTTTAGAACAAATAACGACGGATTAAGTAAATCTTTGAACAATTCTGAGGTTATGTAATTTGTTTGTTTACAAAAACTATACCGAAGCTCTTTCCATCGTGTCGCTAATTGGGTACTTAAACCTCTCTGTACAGCTAGAATAAATAACTCTTATCATAACCTGTTATATATAAAGTTTCGTGTGTACCACGGAACCTAACCGATCATCGCTTCAGACACGCATGCGCCGCATACCTCAGCTGACGTCACCAGCCCAAGACAATAGTAGGGCACTTGGATCCCTTGATGCGTAATCTACTATTAAACTGAGTTTTTGATCTTAAATTTTTTAAACTTGAGTTATGTTTGATGTAGCCCACCTGAATAATGAAATTACTAAAGTTAATTCAATTATTTTTTATCATTACATCAAATTATCGTACTTTAATGAGATTCATTAATTTTATTCATCAGGTAGATTATTGCATACACCGCCCAGATTTAAACAATTTGCAATTGGAAACTTCATTACAAATATACTTT